CCGAGCTGGGCGTGGCGGTTGCTTTGTGGGCGTGCTTGCTTTCTCGCCTTGGGGTTGCGCCGCGGCTCCCCGAGTCCGAGGGCCGCAGGCGCCCGCCGCAGCCGGCGGGGCCCCCGGGCCGCGGGGCCCCAGGGCTGGCTTTGCGGCGAGGAGGCGGGGACGAGGATAAAGGAGCAGCCACGCCCTCAAGTTTGTACAGCAAGCCGGCCCCCGCCGCCACCGGCACGCTCAGCTCGGGCACATCTGCCCGCAGGGGCTGCAAGGAGCGGTGAGGCGTCCGGGTCCAGAAAGGCAAAGGGGTCTGGCAGGTGCGCAGCCCTCCATCCGGATCTTCTTCACTCCGAGCCGAGCAGGGACACCCCAGCACCGGCCAGTCCCCAGATGCTCCACAAACATACCGCAGAGGGGAAGCGCCGGCACCCTCGGGGCGCTATGGACACCGAACACTGGCCCCGGGGGCTAGAACTCCGTGGCTGAGGGCCTCTGCCCCCATTACGTACGTGCCTCTACAGCCCCCCTGCTCCCACGTTCTTTAGAAGCAGGAACCCCTTGGCTTTGGTTTCAGCCCGGGTCAAAAGGCGGAAAGGTGCCCTGTGTGCCGTAGAGCCGCACACAGCGAACCCCACAGGCGCATCCCTGACACTTCCATGCGTGAGAACCACGGGTTGGGGTCAGATGTGCTTTTCAATCAACATCTATTTCTAAAGATGACAAGACCTGCTAGTTTCGGAGCCGGACTCTGGATTTTCTCCCAAGGAATACAACGCAGTGTTTTCTGCTGGTGGGATTCCATAAGGACCACCTTCATGGAATCCTGCAGGGATGGGCTCTCCACTCTTCCATCGTGACCGTCTTCAAGTTTGCCCCCAGATAGGTGGAGTGGGGAGTTTAGAGAGCAGACGGTTGGGAGGCAAAACCAGCTGGCACAAGCAGTGTGATCTTGGGCAGGGTGTCTGTAAATGGGGAAGACCACAGGAGGCCTCCCCAGCCAGGAGTTGGAATGGGGGAACGCCGCTCAGCCTCTTTAGCGGAGGAGCCTTAAATGAAACAAACCCAGCAGCAATGTCTCTCTGCAAAGGGAGATCGTAATAACGCCCAGGTGCCACGCGGGTGGGTGCTTGCAGGGACGGAAGGCACAGGATGAGGGTTTAGGACAGTATGTCAATCACGGCAGAGAACTGGGTACAAGACAGGGCACTGGTCTAGATGTGCTCTCCTCAGTTCTTCTACCCTTGTCCAGAGATCCTCAGCCAGAGAACAAGTAGACATATTCTATCTCCTCTGCTATAGTAAAGCCCTGGCTTTGTGATCCCAATGAGAGGGAGTACAACGTTTTATATTCGTGCAGAACGATGCTCATTACTCCCAGCTTTCACAATGGTTCCTGTTACTCTGAGATGTTGCCCTGCGGATTCAGTGGAAAATAAAGTTGACTTCAGAAGAAATCAGTATTTTAATCTGTGAGGCAGGAGAGCTGTATTTCCTTTCTGGTTGCTTTCATCTCTTAAGTTTCTAAATGAATCCACGCAATAAAAAAAAGCCAGACAAAGTAGTGCCTGTCACAGATTTTGACAGAAAAGCAGTTGTGACTCCGTGGGCTTCATAAGCTAATCGTAGCAGAGAAAGTGGGGAGGAACAAGCCCAAGACCTTTACTGAGTCTGAGCCCGCTGGTGAGTGTGAGGAGGAAGGTCACCCCGACAAGCAAGTCCTAGGGCAGGGTGCCAGTCTCCTGCCATCATCACCCCTGGCCTGTGGGGCCTCAGGAGAGTTGCAGCTACAGTGTACAGGCTGAAATTTATGAGATTTGTTTCCAAAATGAGCAAGTACTTGGAAAGCCAAAGCGACTGTTTGAACTCAGGTCTGACAGGGGCTTTCTGGATTTGTCCAGAGCAGAAACATTGTTGGAATTAACTCATCCTCTTGCACGGCTCACAAAACTCAAACAGTGAAGGTGAGAAAGAGCACTGGAAGGAAATACCAACGAGAGTAACAGAGGCCAAGCCATCCGTGATTTCAAAAGGATTCCCAGAGCTTTATTCCGAACTTCAACAAAATCAATACACATAAATTACCTGCTCGATACCAGAACTATTTTTGAGTTGCAATTGGAACCAACTGCTTCTAAAATTTAGAAATCCAAGGAGAAATAACATCTCCCAAATCTGTCTACAGAAGGTGGGAGGCCAAGGGTGTTGCCTTTCATGGTTGTGCAGAGAAATGAAACATCTCGGGAGTCTGTCAGACAGAAGTCCCTCTCGTTCCAACAGAAAGCAAAGCCTTAAAGAATAAATGTAAGAGAATTTTAAAGTCAAGAAAGCAAAAACCAAAAATTTCCAAGTGCGTTCTAAAAAAGGAAAAGCGTGGATATCCATTGGAAAAAATCTCTGGGCTTAGACAAAAAGAAAAAAAAATCCTCAGAGCATATACAGATATAACTACGCACATACGCAGGCTATATGCGTTTATGTGTGTCCGTGTGAGTGCATTATCTACTTTTAATTTAAAAAAAGGTGGAATCCCAAGCCAACACAGGTCTATCAAATTCTTCACCAGCCAAGTCTTAGCGTACAAGTTCGTATGAAATGCTGTATGAATTCCCTAGGAAATCCTGGTGGATTAAGTGACTGTCACTCAGGCGTGCTGCCTGGGTCTGCTGGTCTGCAGCTGCAGGGCGTGGGCCCCCCACCCCCACCCCACCTGTGCTGCACGCGCTCTCTAGGATCTCAGCAGGGGCTAAAGGATCAGGAAATAACTACTCTTGCTTTCACCCACCCGAAGAAACTCAGAAGCAATGCTTTCTGACTTAATGGTACAGAGTCTGGGAAGGGAGATAGACCTGGGCCAGGAGGGAGGGCGGGGCCGTACCGAACGCGCGGAGAGGCACGCTTCCACCGGTCTTAGAACTTTCAGCTGAGATGCGCGCGGCACCACTAAACGATGATAAAATCCTTCCTTACTCTTCCAGATCTTCGGGAAGAAACTTAAAGCACCGGGAAAAGCTGGAGCTCGGGAGCTGACCTCTCGGGGCTGCCTGCGTGGTTGTTGTGGGGACTCAGCAGCGACAACCGCGCGCTATCGTGATGAGCTGGGTTTGTCTTTGCCAAATCTCCTTCAAAGCAGGGCCTTGATTTTATGCTTTTGGGTTTTGAGAATAAGATAAAAACATCTGTAAAACACAGCTGATGTCCTGTTATTGAACAGTCTGGGATTGGAGTAGAGGAAGCACTGTGTATTTTATTCCCCCAAATACTTTTCCTTTCTGAAAACTCTTTCATGCTCTTTAAGACTAATAAACTTTTCATGCGTCTCTGTAAAGAGCTGCTAATCTAATAAAATGAAACTCTCCACCCACGCTAGGGGGAACCATGGAAGCTCTGGAGGCTCCCCCTTCCACAGACCCACCTCCTTCCTGTCAACCTGGTCACTGCCCCAGGCAGTGGCCAAAGTGGTGCACCCCCCTACTGCTCTCCCCCAGACTCCTTGCGGCATGTGTCTTCGGGGTGGCCCCGGCTGGCCCCTAACCGTACGCTCTACAGGGGATCTCATGCACACCTGGCTGTGCTGACCTTTACCTCTGCCTGTAGCCAGGGCCATCCACCCACCAGTTCTGTCATCTCCACTCGATGCCTCAAATGCACATCAAAGCCTAAGGCATGCAAAACGAGCTCATGACTTGGGAGTCTCTCCTCCAACCAGGCCCTTCCCTGGTGTCCTGACTCAGTGATGGTCCCACCCTATAAGCCCAAAAGCACAAGCCGGAAGCCCGGATTCTCCCTGACACACCCCCGCCCCCCCCCACTTCAGCTACCAAGTCCTGTGGCTTTAGTGTTGAACGTGCCCCTTGCTCTCCACACCTGCCGCTTCTGAGGTGTTTAAACCACAACTGTCTTCCCTTCACCCTGCTCACCTCCCACCTCACCGCCACCCACCACTGTCCATTCCCGCCATGTCACTGAGCTCGCTGCCCTGTCACCCACAACTGTCAAGTGAACAGTTTTTGGTGAATGTCACGCTGGATGGCCCTGCTGCACTCGATACTGCCCATCCATCTTCTAAAGCTCCCCACCCCCCGGCTTCCGGAGAGCCTACTGACCCCCTGGTCCCTGTCAAGCCTCTCTGCTGACCTAACGGACAACTTCAACGGATAATAGCCATACGTTGCTGTCCTTTAGGATCCTGGACTTCTTTGCTCCCCTTCCCTACAGTCTTCCTCTAAATAGGTCTGTCTCCTCTCACACGGGGTCACCACAAAACCTCTGCTTTCGGCCTCATCGTCCCTCCCTTGAGCTTAGCCATGTCCCCCAGGCACCTCACACCCGACAAGGCCGACACGGAGCTCGCCATCTCCCCGCCCCCCCCACCCCCCTTCCAGCCCACGAGTTGTCCGGATGGCTCTTCCTCACCTGGTGCCCCCACCGTTAACCTCATCAGCCAGGCTACAGAAGTGCCTTTCTCCGTCTTCCTCCGCTGTCAGTCCATGAACTCACAATCACGGAGGGCTGCGGACATTCCCTGCCCCATGACACTCCCTCCATCCACTTCTGCTGAGGCTGCTTGTACTTAAAGTGGTCATTTATGCCTTCAACATTCTCAACAAATAGCTACGGAGCCCCCGCTCCTGCATGTTTCAGCTCTTGAAAAGTTCACACGTGTGCTGCACTGGGACACATCATCAAGCATCAGCGACAGAAAATGGTGTGCTAAATGCGACAAACGCATGGTTTAGGATGTGAGACGTGAGCCTAAAGGAGACAGGCCACATTCGGCTTTGTTCCGGGAAGGCCGTCCCCTTCTGAGGAGTCAGCCTAGAGAAGTGTTTTCCATGTGGCCCAGCTTGCGAACCCAGCGCTAAGAGAAGCGGCCGGTGGAGAACCTCCAACAGGAGGATGGCTGCAGTAGAGACAGGAGGGGTGGGGGCCATGAGGCTTTTGGCCCTGCTCACTTTGCACAGGCACCTGGGGGTCTCTGAAAGGTGTGAAGAGAGCGGGCACAAGGAGAGACCACCCTGCCTGCTGCGTGCGCTTCATTAAAAACTGGTGGGACCCCTGGGAGGGGCAATCCCAGCAGCAGAGAGACTGGGGACAATAAAAAGCAGCCAACGTCTAGACAGAAATAAGGAGGTGGAATTTGCAGGACTCGGTAACGGGTTGGCCGCTGGGGGCACGGGCCACTAACCTGTGGCCCACGGAAGGCGCAGCTGAAGCCTCTGTGGCCTGGAATATCCTATCTCCCTAGGGCACTGGCATTCAAGTGTTTGTTTGTGTGCCTCTGGAAAGAATTCTAAAAATCCGCACCCCTTCGCACACCATGAAGTGGACACCTAGAATCGTACGCAGACTTAAGTAGCTGCAAAAGACGTCCTCACGAACGTGTACTCTCTGTGCGATTTGAACGGATTCATGTCAAAACTTTGTACCTGCAGACTCAGCACACTGGATTGGAAACTACCCGTAACCAGTCATCCCTGTGAAACCTATGGGACTTCCTCTTGGCGAGAAGTCCGACAGCACCCCCGCGCTCTTCAGCTCACTTTTGAGCAACCGCACGAAACCATCCAACCCTGAGCTCTAATTCAGGAAGACGTCGGATTTCATGGGACGGAGCAAGGGGCTGCCCCCTCCATTTCCTTCCCGAAGCCGCAGAGAAACCTTGCTTTCCCACAGCGGGAAAAGGAGACCCTGCTCGGACGCGGCCCGCGAGCAGGCACAGAACGAGCACACGCGCGCCTCCGCGTGTCCCCACCGCCGCCGTCGCTGTCGCTGCACGCGCGCCCGCAGCCCTGGCCCCACCTGGCGCGGCCAGTGGACCGCCGGGCCTGCGCGGCAGGCGCCCCGAGGGCGGGCCCGGTTCCTTTGCCGCCGCAGGCGGCGGGCGAAAGCGCGCTCGGTAACCCCCGGGGCCCTCCTCAACCGACGGAACGAAGCGCTCCCGCCGGGTCGCGCTCGGGCGGCTCCTCCCGGGCCCGTGCGAAGGCAGGCGCCGGGTGCGGAGGGACCCCGCCTCGGGGCGGCGCGGAGCACTGGCGCCTGCCCCCCGCCCCCTGCCCTCCGAGCTCACACAAATGACGGAAAGGGAGCTGGGACCTTCGCCTCCGACTCAGTCTAGATGTCGCCATCCCTGCGCGAAGTTCCCCCGCAACGACACCTCGACGGCGGCCATCTTGCCCAGAGTCGGCCGACGCCTTTTGACTCTCGCGCCAACCCGTAGAGCGAGCGCGCCGCGAGAAGAGTTCTGCGCAAGGACGGAAGCTGGAGTCTCGCGCTTCCGGGCAGCCGCCGCGCTCCGCCCCCTCGCGGGAGCGCTTGATTGGTTACAGGCTGGCGAGCCTGCGCTCTCGCGATCTCGCGGGAGGTGTCTGAAGGGGCGGCCGTCCGTGCGTCTGCCCTCCCGTTCCCCGCCCCCGCCTCCGCCGCGGCTCCCGCCTCCGCCACCCATCCCCGGCGCCTCGCCGCCCTCCCGGCTCGGCCGCCCCCCGCCCCCCCGAGCGGCCGTGGAGACCGCGCTGCGCGGGAGGCGGGATCCGCACGGTAAGATGGCCGCGGCGGACCCAGGCGGCCGGGCCGAGCTTCCCCGCGGGAGCGCGGCGGGCCGGGGTGGGGCTGGGCGGGGGCGGGGTGGAGGCCGAGGAGGGGGCCGGGGTAGGGCTCGGCGGGAGAGGCCAGAGGGGGCCGGGGCGGGGGTCGGGAGCGGGCTGGGGGCCCTACGGGGTCGAAGGTCTGAGCAGGTGGCAGAACCGGGGCCTTGTGGATTTGCGCTGTCAACTGCCCCTTTTCTCCTGGCCGGAGCAGAGTCCTGACCCCACAGCGCTCGGGCGCTGTAATTCGGTGTTTATTCTTAAAGGGAGCGCCTTTCGAGCGAAGGCTACAAGGTTCAGAAGTGGTCGGCAACCACAGCAGTGGCAGTTACCTGAAGCACCGCACTCGTGTCCCTGTGAAAAGAACGATTTTTATGACCACCGCTTCAGAGCAGAAGCTGAGCTGGTGAGGACGCGAACTGCTTGCTTGGGAAGCAAGTGTTCCTCGGTTTCAGAGTTGGGAGGTTTGTGTGTTGAGTGTTTCTCTGGAGTTGTTGCTGCTCCCAGATCGCTGTCCGTGCTGGGAGCGGTACTGGTGTGATTTGGGGTACTACGGGGATGGAGAGAAAGGGGCCTCGTTTGTCCGAGGTTACCTGGAGTTGTCTGGGAACAGCAGAGTGGCCTGAGGGAATTACGCACCTGCCCGGAGCTACAGGACTTGGGCATTTGTAGGAGGAATGACATCGCTTGGTTTGTCTCCCGTGCCGGCTTCCTCCTCTGGTGCTGAGTGTGGGCACCTTCCTAGCACCCAAGGACTTGGTCTTGTGCCCGTGCTCTCTCCCTGGGCGATCTTTGCCCAACTCGTGGCTTTCGATAGGTACCCTTGTTGGGTGGCTGTTTCCCTAATTAATGTTTCCAGCGCTGGGCTGGGGACCTATAATCCAGGTGCCTGCTTGACTTCTCCATCTGCGTGTCTGATAGTCAGCCCAAACTTGCTCTACTCCTCAAACCTGTCCTGTTTCTTTTTGTTTGTGGCCCGGTCCTCCAAGGTCTCAAGCTTGAAAGCTCCGGTCCGGCCTCGAGCTATCTGGTCCTTTATCCCTCTGCATTCAGGCCGGCAGCACGGCCGTTGACTTGCGCCCACAGAATCTTCACCTGCTGTGTCTCTGACTCTCCTGCCGCTGCTATCATTTGATGGCTTCTCGCTGGCTTTCCTGCTCGGCTTTTGCTGCCCCACTTTCTCTGTTCTTTAATTTAAAAACATTTTTTTATTTTACTTTTTTATTTTAGAGATTGGGAGTGTATGAGCAGGGGAGAGGGGCAGAGGAAGAGACAGAATCTGGGGCTCGATCCCATGATCCTGGGATCATGACCTGAGCCAAAATCAGGAGTTGGACGCTCACCCGACTGAGCCACCCAGGTGCCTTTGTTGTTTGATCTTTTAATTTAATGAAGCGATTTAGCATGTCCTTGTCTGGCGTAAAGCGGTACCCATGATGTATGGATTGCTTACGACGACAGTGGTGGGCTCGCCATCTTAAGAGCCCAACTGGTGCCCCCAGGGCTGGCACCTCTCTGCCCTCCTTCCCATGGTCACCGCCTCCTGAGTTTCATGTCTTTACTCAAAACAAGAAAACGCTTTACCGAATTTGTATTTGTTGCTAAAGCACGTATCACGCGATTTGTGTTGTTTTTGTTCTTTGTAAAACTGTCTGCCACGCTTGGGTCTTGCTTTATTCGTCCAACTGGTTTCTGAGAGTCCTCCCTGTGGCTGTGTTCATGTTTTAATTGTTCTAGTAAGTTCTGTTACGCGATCGTAAGCCTTTCTCAGCAATCCTAAAATCCAGATAGCTCCGAAAATCAGAAATTTTTTGTTTTTAACCTATTTGATGGCAAAATCTGCTCCGGTGAAAGCTTTTCCATCTCCATTCCACCCAGTGTGGCTGCCCAGACGTTTCCCCAAAGAAGTCGTATTTAATTGTGCGTGTCATGTGACATATGCTAAGTCGTGCCGTGTAGTTCTGGGTACAGTCGGCAAGATTTTAACTTTCGGAACGGATCTGCCCAAGGGTTTTGGGCCTGGGATTGTGGTTCCCTGCTGCTTTTGAATGAACATCCAGGTGGGTGGCTTCCTGATTTTTGCCATCTTGAAAAGCGTTTCTGTGAGCAGGCTTGTCCGTGTCGGGTGTGCGGTGGTGAGTGTGGAGGACCTCAGTCTAGTGATAGAATCCCCGGGCCGTGAGGAGCGCGTGTGGTCCGCCCCACAGAGAATGCCGGGTCTGTTTGCGTTTCCAGTCTGCTCTCACAGCAGCATCAAAGAGCTGGAGGGAGCTCCATGTCTCTGTGGACACTTGGTATGGTCAGACTTCTTAATTTTGGTAGGTCTGGGGAGTGTCTCATCGTGGGCTTCTCTCTTGGGCACGTGTGTCATCGCGTTGAATATTTAGCTTATGTCCCTCGCGGTTGCCCTTCATGCTTAGAAGAGGGTTGATCTAAACTCCTCCTTTATCCGGCGAGGCCTTACTTGGTACGACCCACCCCACGACTTGACCTGTCCATTCTGAGACTCTGGGCTCTTCCTCGCACCAATCCTATCTTCTAAATATGCTAGCCTTCTTTCTGATCCCTATATCTGCATTTGGTGCCAGGCGCTTTGAATTTGCCGTTTGCCAGATAAAGTATCTTTCCACCATCTCCTTATTCCTTCGCGCTGCGTCGCCCTGCTTCACTCTGAAATGATTACGATTCTTAACGGAATTCTTAACATCCTTTTTTTTTAATTGAGGTACAGTAGAGACCCAGTGTTTCTGGGTGCAACATGGGTATCTGATGACCCTGTAGGTTTCTCTGTGCTTACAAGTCTGGCTGTCATCTGTTACTACACAGCCCTATGAGGGACCATTGAGCGTGTTCTCTGTAATTCATTCCCGTGATCTTCGCTAATTTTTAAAATACTGTTTTCCTATAGAAAATAAGTCAGAATGAGTTATGCAGAAAAACCCGATGAAATCACGAAAGATGAGTGGATGGAAAAACTCAATAACTTGCACGTCCAGCGAGCAGACATGAACCGCCTCATCATGAACTACCTGGTCACAGGTAACGGCTGGCCATGGCTGGCCATAAGGGTGCTACCTCTTGAACGTAAATCTCCCTTTTGGTATGTATAGGTAGAATTTTACATTGGACTTCCTTGGTAGAATTGTGTTTGGGTGTAATAAAAACACACTGCTAATTTTCCTAAATTTGTAAATTGCCGTATCAAAGGTGACCTGTTCCAGAGGTGAGGTTGTTATGCTAGGTATCTGAGCTCTAAAGCAAAAACCTGTTTCTTGACCTTTAATGTTTTTGCAGCTTATCAAGTGACTAAAGAATGTTCTGGAGTACGTTTAAACCCCAAGTAATTGATCTCTTTTGGCAAGTCTGAGAAATTATACTGGGCTGTTTCTAGAAGGTGTGCCTAACTCAGAGGAGAAAGGGGGAAGGGCAGAAGCAGATGGAAGGTAGCAAAAGGGGTCTGTAACTATAGTCCTCCTTGATACCGGGAAAGAAGAGGGTAATTTTGTACATGGTTGGAAAACAGCGATGTTTCAGAAAGGTCTGAGTCTCCTTCCATTGTTCACGGTGCCTCGTCCCCCAAATCAGTCTTGACCGAGACTTCTCTGGGAAGGTGTTGAGGAAGTGTCTGCCTGTAGTGGGGGGTGGGTGGCCACACATGCTGCTTAGACGCTGGTGAGAACTGTCCACTCACAAGGAGGCAGGAGGGTCAGGCCTCTGCAGGCTGTGGAGGCGCAGTCGGCGTGCGCAGACGTGCCTGCGCAGGTCTGGTTTCACCTCTGCCTGGGGTCGCAGCCTTCCCGGGGGAGCCCATAGTGCACTGGGCTTCCCGGCACGCACTCTTGCCCCTGGCTGGGGGGTGAACGGCGTCTCGGGTGGGATGGGAAGGAGTGGCGTACGTGGTTTTCATTTTCTGTGTGGGGCACGGCTAGTGAATCAGAGATGTAAATGCCAAGTCCCTAAGACGGTGCGGGTCACGTTGAAGGTTATTGGTCTGAGGTGGATGGGCTTTCTAGGGATAAAAATGCTTTGCGTTAGTGTCTTGCTAGCTTCCTGAGCACTGAAGATGGTTTTCATTTTCAGAGGGCTTTAAGGAAGCAGCAGAGAAGTTTCGAATGGAATCTGGGATTGAACCTAGTGTGGATCTGGAAACACTTGACGAGCGGATCAAAATCCGTGAGATGATCCTGAAAGGCCAGATCCAGGAGGCTATCGCGTTGATCAACAGCCTCCATCCGGAGCTCCTGGACACCAACCGGTATCTCTACTTTCACCTGCAAGTGAGTTTCAGTCGAGAGGCGTCTGGTTTGTGGACACTCGATGAGGTTATGTGTGCTCGTTTCAGAAGTAACGCGGCTAATTTGCATTAACAGAACGTTGTTTTAGTTTACGTGGGGAAGGGGCTTGGGTTAGCCGTTGTCTCGTGTGTTCCAGGAGCTGTTTCTTGCTTCAGGAGCGTTAATGTCATGATTTAGGGCTGCTAGAAGTTGTCACGTAAGACGTCCTTTGGCTAGAGGCTAGAGCGCGTCACCGGGTGTGCCTGTCTGGGCGCGGGTGGGTAAGCCTGTCTGCCTTTGCCGGCCCAGCAACAGCACCTCATAGAGCTGATCCGCCAGCGCGAGACGGAGGCGGCGCTGGAGTTCGCGCAGACCCAGCTGGCGGAGCAGGGCGAGGAGAGCAGGGAGTGCCTGACGGAGATGGAGCGCACTCTGGCCCTGCTGGCCTTCGATAACCCTGAGGAGTCTCCATTCGGAGACCTGCTTCACATGATGCAGAGGCAGAAGGTAAGACCGACGGGGCCTCCTTCCCCTCGGTGGGTGTCCAGGGCGGGACTCTAAAAGGCACAGCTGTAGAACGCACGGAAGCCACGTCTGGGCACGTGACACTCAGTCACGACAGCACCGATTCTCCCGTCAAGCGTCCCCTTTCCCTGTGTGAACCGGGAACCGAGCACCGTGACGTCATACACGGCATTCAGACTCTCTGTCTCAGCTTTTCTCGTTCGTCTTAACCTCCTCTTGTTTGTTGGGAGACTCTTAGCAGTGGGTGTCCGAAACACGTTTTACCTAAAATCCCCTATTTGCTTGTGAAGCTGTTTGTCTCCTTGCTGCTGCTTCTGTGTTCCAGCCCCCACGACGGTGCATTACTGCCCCAGACGCGGCCCTCTACTCCCATGGCCCTTTCCTGCCGGAAGGGAGGGCTACTCTCCAGGCCGCCGCCACGCGGGTCGTCCTGTGGCTTGTCCCGTGGACCTTGTGTCACCCCACCCTGCTCTTTCCTCCGTCCCGGTCCCCTCGAGCCTGGCTCACGGCATTTCACTGCTATCCAGGCCGGGTATGAGCCCCACCGACCGGGCCGCGGGCTCCTCCTGGGCAAGGAGTGTGTGTTTAACATCCTCTGGAGGGCCTCACGGTCATGGGCTTCGTATTCATTTGAATAAGTAACCATCTTCTCCTGTAAGAAGGTCTTAAGAAGTGTAAATGCATATTGTAACTGGTCCTACCGGCGGGCACTCTGCACGTGTGGTTGTTTTTATCCGGCGTATTTATTTTCTAGGTGTGGAGTGAAGTTAACCAAGCTGTCCTAGATTATGAAAATCGTGAGTCCACACCCAAGCTGGCAAAATTATTGAAACTACTCCTTTGGGCTCAGAATGAGCTGGACCAGAAGAAAGTAAAATACCCCAAAATGACAGACCTCAGCAAAGGTGTGATCGAGGAGCCCAAGTAGTCTGTGCCGGTGGCCCCTGTGCCCCCCCCACCCCTCCCCCCCCGCACCGGCCGCAGGGGGCTGGGGGGGGGTGGGGGGTGGGGGCGGGGGGGGAACTTTTTTTCCCCCCTTTTCCTGGATTTTTTTTTTTTTTTTCGACCTGGCATCTTTTTTAAAGGGAAGAACGGCCCTTCTGAGCGCTGGAAAACTTGCAGCGAGAGACGCGGTGTCTTTGGAAGTGTGGCGCAGACCGCGGTGGGCGCGCTGACAGCGGGGACGGGCCGCATCGGCCACCGAGCGCTCTGTAGTTCGGGAACGTTGTTGAACGGAGGCCTCCCTCGCAAACCTCTGACAAGCACTGATCATTATTTTGCTTTCTGTTAGCTCGTAGGCAGAAAATACGTTTTCTCAGATCTGCGAAGACTCGTCAGGCCTTTGTGGAGAAGGTTTCTCTTACCCCTTGGTTTTTTGTTTTTTCATAGGAAAGACTATATAAATTTGTAAATCCTAATTCAAAGACTTCTTTTGTGTGAGGGTATTGAGTTTGGTTTGTTTCTCTCT